CATCCTTAAACTACTTTAAAGTTGTTTATATACATTAAATATAGTTAAGTTGATTATCGCATATTGATTCACCAGATATTGTAAGGGAATTGTAAGGGAATTTAAAAATTAGACGTTTTATAATAATTATTGATCAATAACGACAAATATTCTTTTAAAATATCCAGTGTATATACAGTGATGTAGAATAATATAATATATTATTTATTTATTTAAAAAAAGTAAATAAATACAAATAATTATTTGACCTTTTTAATAGATTGAATGAATAAAATTACGTAAAATTGCGTAGAACAGGAATAAATTTTTTTCAATTTTTCATTTAACTTGTTTTCACTTTGGGGGTTTATAATTTATTTTCATAATTTCGTAGGTTTAATATTGGGATTTGATTCATGATTTTCATAGAATTTATCAGTTTATATTTTGTGTTAATAGATTTAAACAACGCTTTAGTTATCCAATGAGTGTTGTCTTTTAACAACTAATTTTTCGTTACATTTGTTGATATTAGTGATGCTGCTAGACGAGAAATTTTCGTCTCTAGTCTCGTCTTACTCGTCTCGTACAAGACGAGAGGGACATTTTGTCTCGAAAAAAGATTCGAGACGAGAAAGTATCATCTCTCGACGAGAATTTTTCGTTTTTTAGAGCTCTCTCGAGCAATTTACTTTTTGCTTATTTAAAATTTCCAAATACTTATGGTAACTTAAAAATTAAACATATCGCATCCTTGCTTCAAAAGTGACGCAACTAAAAAAACTTAGATTTTCGGAAATCGAAAAAAAACTAGTTTGTGAATGGCTACAAGTTTTTGAATGAATCCAAAAAATGGAAGAGATACATAACAGTGCGGGGATTGCAGAATTACATAATTTTTTCTGTCTAATCCATTACCAATCTTAAAAAAGGCCCCTTTTGAGCTGCGGCGGTTTTGATGATTTTTATTCCTATAAATAACTGAATTATTTTGAGTTGTGTCACCTTCAACGTATTTTTATAAAGAAGTGACAGTTTTGAAATTTTGGATCTGTTATTAAATACAAAACTTTTTAAATCGTGACATTGTCATGCAAATAGAAATTGTTAATAAAACACCAATTTAAATACAAAAATGCTTTATTTACTAAACAAAGCAGCAACCTCAAAAGTAAAAAATATCTAGTTTTAAAGTGATTCTTCATGTTTAGTGTTTATAAAAAACTAAACTTTACGACACAGTTACACTAAAAACCTACATTTTTAACAGTAAGTACCTACCTATTCTGTACCGGTCAGTTTAAAAACGATATGTATTTTTCAGTCAATACTAAAAAAACATTTGTATTAACTTAAACAGAAATAAAAGCAAATTTCTACAAGACGGAAAATAAAAAAAATATTTTGAACTTATCAATTAAAATTAAACAATAATATTATGACTTAAGTTTTTAAAATTGCTTAACATTATTCTAATGTAAATCAAGAATATTTTGAAAGTAAGAATTGTAATAAAATTTTGGGATTATATTTTTCGCAGAAAGTTTTTTTAAGTCCTTTTTTTATTGTCACTTAGTTGGAATATATTGGCATAAGCCCGAACTAGACGCATTTCAGATTCTTTTCTTATTTCAGTTTCTTTTGACCTAATCTTCTTTGGTTTTCTTATATTTACCATCTTAAAAGTTGTATCTTCATACGACATTTTGAAAAAAAAACTTGAAGGGCTTTGCTTCTCTACTTTAAGTATTTTTATATCATGCCACTTTACTTTCATATTTTTAGTATTTGTTGAAAATTTGTTTTCCATTTCCTCCCGTAGTGTTTTAAGGTCATAGAAATCTTCAAATACAATGTTATGCAGACGATAAGGAGGGCAATTTTTTTGCTGTTCGGATCAACGTAGCATACTGCTCTGGCACGTAAATTGGGTTAGATTTTAAATGTTTTTTTACCTGTGCACGTTATCATATCATATATTAATCCATTTTCAATGTAAAGAATTAAGACCAAGTTAAGCTAAACGATACTAAACTTCCCTACCGATTTGATGGATTTTAGAACCGCCTAAAAAAAAATCAAACAAGAACATCGTGACAAGTAAAGAGCAAGTTAAAAAATAATTCATTAGAAGTGACACAACTAAAAATATAAGCAACAGATTTTACTTACCATAGTTTTCTTAAATGACACAACTTAAATTAATGCACTGCCGTATGCCGTTATTAATCTGCAAAACTGTATTAATTCAAATTATTTCACTGCAGGTATTCAGTTTTAATCTGCCAAAACGTCACAACTCAAAATAGTGCGTTTTTGATTTTCGACAAGGCAACCTCTTTCTATCAAGTTCAGAGCGACAACTAACGATGTGTCACTTTTGTTGCAGAAGGTTATGTTCAGTATAGAAACTTCAAAAACGACACAGGCGCCATCTAGACGATACTTTTCTAAGCTAAGTTAAAACACTGTTGATGATTTATGTAGGGTTGTTTACTAGTTTCATTTATGATATTAACTCAAAAAAAAAATATGTGAATTTTGAGTTGTGTCACTTTTGAAGGAAGGGTGCGATATCAAATTTCCAGATATTCAAAAAGTTAACAATAAGGCACGTATTCTATATATAATGATATATGAAATGGTGACAAATAATAAGTGTGTAATTGGGATTATATCAATAGTGATTTATAAGAAAAATTATGACATTTATTTTAAATTAATGTCAGTTTGAAGCTGGAAAAAGATTTTTATCTGCTTAAAATTAAAATTTGACAGTGAAATACAATATTATGCGAAATTCTAAAAATCACAAATTTGTGGGTTGCTTCCTATCTGCAGAAATCTGTCCAGCTATCGGAAAAACGGCAACACAGTGTTCCGGTCTTTAGTTAAAAATATATTGCTTATGCCTGGCTATACTGCATTCTCAGTGTGACTACATTACTACTACAACAGAGGCATACTTTTTATCTCATTGATGAATGTATTGTTGATAAATATCAACTCGTTAAGAAAGTTTGTATAGGTTTACTCAATATTGTAGTTTGACTGTAATATAAAATCGTACTGTGTCATAAATTCATCCTCAGATAGATTACCAAAAAATAATTGGATTTGGCTATATTTACCTATATCAAAAACTGGCTCCCAACAAAGTTACAGGGTGTTAAACTAACATTCAGAAAAACTTTTTTTTTTAAGTTTGCTGTTACGGTTTTTTCTTCGAAATTTTTGCCAGTGCTGTAGATTTGAAGGCCCAATATTGTAAAAAAAAATTTAAAGCGACCCCTTTAAAAAAATTGGGGGTTGGGTACCTTTTAACCCCCCTGTATTTTTTTGACATAAAGAAACCTGCTTTATCGATCCTAAAATCAAAAAGAACTAAGAGTTTTTAAATTTTTGTTATAGCAAAATGAACTTTGTATCTTTCTTAGTTAACCAGCTATTTACAATTTTTTAACTGAATTTCTAGAGCAATTCGTCCGCCCTGGACTTAACATATCAACAAAACTAAGAGTAGGTCAGGTGTTATTGTACAAAAAAAAGCATATCAAAATCAGTGGTATGTCTAGGTCTGTGCTTGAGTCGCCACTCCAAAAACTACCTCTTTTATTTATATTTTTGTAAAAAAGGTATTTATAATATTGGATTGGCGCTATAAAAATGGTGTGCTACCCGTCCTCATGAGTTGACCATGCCACTAATAAAAATACACGTTAGTTTGGAAATGTAATTATTAAATTTAATAGTAATAAAAATAATTATTTTTTTAATTAAACAACAAAAAATTAAAAATTAAAGATATACATTTGACAATAATTATTATACATATTTTATAAACTATTTAATTTAATAAATATTCTACATGTCCTCCTTCTTCTTGTGTAATAAATATTCTGATGTTACACTATCAACATTATTTAGTTGCATTTTAAATTGTAAAATATTTATATTAGGAAACATGTATGTCTCTTCCCACACTAAGTTCCGAACAAAAGAATTATAAAGGAATATAAAAATATAAAACTTCCCTATTTATCAAAAGTTCAATTTTCCATCATAAGATTATGCAAGAAAAATAAATAAAACAAACTATAGCTATTCAATAAAAGGAACTTTGCCATTATAAATGCTGTCTATTGTTTCAAAAGAATCACTTATTCTTTCTGTAAATTGGCGTTCTTTAATATAAAAGACCATAAATTATTTTAAAATCCATTGCAATGTCATTCCTTAAACAGATATAAATGCTTTTATGAGCAATATATGGGACGTAAATTTTTTATAGTCAAATGTAAATTAAATTGTGTTGGTAGACATCATTAAATTAATCTTCATGATCTACTTTGTTTTTTCTTACCACTTCTTTCAATATGCTCTATTCGGTGCAACATTTTAGCTGTAGTATTTCACATCATTTCCCTAAAGTACTCACTACAATCGTTCCTTTTCCTGTTATTTATATTAAAACCCCTATCCATTAATATCATTGTCTCATCTTCAACTATGATTAAGATTGTTTATAGTTTCAGGAGTATAATCTTCTGAATAATAAACACATAGACAGGTATTGCAAATTTCTATTACGTCAGCCGCTAATAGTGCTAACATAATTAACGTCGAATTATTTCATTTTAAACTTTTCTAATTTTTATATTTGGAATCATATTTTTTTATGTAAATCGCGTTTTGTCGATGACTCAAATATGAAGTTTTGCTACAAATTTAGCTATTTATTAGTCACAAAAATATGGAAAAAATTATAATTGATATTGACTGACACCAGTTTGTATTATATTTGTTGTATGTTTTCTAAAATTTACCTAAATATTTTTGTTACTCATGTACACACATCGTACCATTTCTTTAATTGAATCCAGTGGGAATGAAGTTGGAAAAGTCTATAAATATATAAAATTTGTTTGTATCTTTAATTAACATAAAGAGCTAGGGGTGTTCTGTTATTATATAGAGAGTATGATTTTGCTACTTGTTATTAAACATTAGAGAGTTTCATAAAAAGAAATTAGGTGGATATAGTTTTGTGTTTTCAATTTGTGATATCGAGGTAGGATATTGTTTTAATTATTAATTAATTTGTTTGTTTAAATGTGCACCGTTCATAATATATTCACTGAGCAATTTGAACAATTTTCACCGAATATCCGGTTGGTTTTTTAATAAACAAATAAAGTTATTATATATTAATAATAAAAAATAAAAAATAATTGTTCTGGAAGTCAAAAACGAATTAATGGGAAAATGTAATGCTAATAAGTAAATTTTGTTATTAAAATAAAAAAAAATACCTTTAATAATTTTTTAATTATTATATTTTTGGTTTTTATAAAACGATAGGGAAATAAGGAAAGTATTGTGATCGGGACTACCTTATACAGGGTGTTTATTAATTCAGTGCCGATACTTAAGGGTGTGAATCCTTGGCAGATTTTAAGAAGAAAAGTCAATAACAACAATTTTTGAGCTACAGAGTGTTACAGTTTTAAGAAAAAAATAATTTATTACCCATAATTTTGTTATGACTCCAGATATTTTTATGAAATTTAGTACACATCATTTAATCATTTAGTAACATTTTTTTTACATAATACATTTTTAAAATTTTTACCAGTGACGTGCGTACGGGGATTGAACAGAATATTTATGAAGAAAAAATGGTGCGCCACCGCTTTTTCTAAAAACAAAAATAAATTTTTAAAATGGTCATTTATTTTGGAGCAAATTTGATTAATAGACTTACTCTTGTACGAAGCACCATTTTCGGATAAAAAAAAAAATAAAAAAAATTGAATCGGCTTTTGATATTTTTTTGAAATTTGGTAGGCACCCACCATGCGTGGAAACATTTTTTTTGGAACAACAATTAATTTTCCACTTTCACGTAGGCATAATATTGAATATTTGAATAGAAAAAACGGCAAGCATATTAATATTCCATGGAATTGGTACTTTTTGCCTTACTTCAAATGAGGTAGTTCTGATTTGTTTATATGTTGGTAGTGATCAGATCTTAATAACAAATTCAAATTATCCACCACGAAAGCCCTTCGGATCATTGTTAAATACTAAAAAATTCTTTAAATTTTGGGACTTTTTTCAGTTTTTGTCAATTTTTACTTTCCTATCTATATACAAATAAGGAAAGTATAGGAATCATGATTTTTTTCGACCTCCAGTTTTCGACGGATTTTTACGTTTTGGGGTCCCCTGAATCCGTTTTGACTATTTTCGGGATGATGTCTGTGTGTGTGTGTGTGTGTCTGTATCAACCATAACTCATGAACCGATACAAAGAAAAACACCAAATTTTAAACTTAAGCTTTATTCCAGCCTATGGTGAACTGATTAGATTTTGGACAGAGTCGGAACATTTGGGGGGGGGGGGGGGTACTTTATTAGTGGTCATTTTTATTTTTATATTTTATGAAATATATCCGTTATTTGCATTCAAATAAGAGTTACTTATAATATTATTATCTATAATTTTTCTTTTATACAAAATTTTCCTAAAATGGTCCGTATTCGAGAAATTTGACAAAATGTAAAAAAAATATTTTTTTATAAAAATTAATCAAATAAAAGTTGTTTGTAATATAATTCTCTATAATTTTTATTTAATAGATAATTTCTCTAAAATGGACCGTATTCGAGATATTTGAGAAAATGTGTAAATTTCGAATTTTGAAGAAAACTCAAAAACGAATAGGGGAAAAAACATTAAATTTTAAACTAAAGGTTTATTTCGGCCTGAGGTGAAATTATTAGATTTTGGACAATGGCGGAACATTTGGGGGGGGGGGGGTACTTTATGGGAGGCCGTTTTTATATTTTATGGAATATATCTGTTATTTATGTTTGGAGAAGAAAATTGTTCAGATAAAAATTACTTACAATATTATTATCTATAATTTTAGTTTCATACAATTTTTTTTTTTAAATGGTCCGTATTCGAGAAATTTGACAAAATGTAATAAAATTCAAATTTTTAGGAAAATTGTTTAAATAAAAGTTATTTGTGATATCGATCTCTATAATTTTTGTTTTTTATATGATTTTTCAATAATGGACCGTATTGTAAAAATTGAAGGAAAAGTGCTAAATTTAAATTTTTCAGTATTTTCGTTTTCAATGAATATCTATAGATAAATGTTTCGAGTTAGATGTATGTGGAACATGTATATATTTAGTTTATCCTCTAAACATTTATAGAGGTGTACAAAATAACCTGAAAAAGCCTATAATAACTAGATAGGAAAGTCATGTGTTGGACACATCAGATTTTTACCACCAATGACCTGTGTTACGGCAAAATTTATTATGCGCACTTTTTAAGTAGAGTAAATTTGCCATGAAATGAGAATAATTTGGTTTTGGTAGGCCAAATAGTTTATAAAATACGGTTATTTAAAATTTAAAAAAAGCAAGTAATTACCTTTTTTTTAGTATTCGACAATTTTTACTTCTAAGGAGTGGGTTTATGGGAAAAGTTACTTTTTTTTAGTTATTAAAGTCTAATAAATTCCCAACAAAATGAGACCAATTATAGCAATTTACACCTTATAGGTCCTGAGACACAGCTGTTCAAAATTGTTCAGGTAAGTAAACAATTATGTACTAGAAGGCTTTGCAAAATGAAGTACGCCCTGTTAGTAAAATAAGCATTATAAATTTTTAAAACACACATTTTTTTAATTAAAACATTAATATAAAAAATGTAATAAAACGTCTCATTGTATTTTATGTACAGCACAGTTGGGGAAATAGTTATTACTCGCATTTTATCGTATATTTTTAATGGACCAGGCTCGTCCTCTGAATCCACAGCACACCGTTGGGGGCAACTTGCTGAGGTAGAATGTCGTAATTCACTTGATGGTGTGTCATCAATGAGTGGTTCATCAGTGTCGTCACACATCAGGTCTGGTATCTTTTCGCAAGATTGGCCAATGCAGTAACTGCTAACAGCTGAGGATTTTAGTACTGCTTTCCTGCAACCACAACTGTTGATACAATCTTTTTTGCAGGCAGAAAATCATATTTAGCAAAGCTTGAGGAGCTGGTGGTGCCATCATCTGTTAAGGAAAGAGGCCTTGTATACTCCGCATCCAGTCCCAATCGAGAGGATTCTTCTCATTTTCCAGCCACTTCTGTACTTGAAACAAAATCAACAACAAAATAAGGAACTATGTATAAAGAATGTGGTCTGAAGCAGAAAGGAATACAAGCGAAATACTTATTCTCACCTGGTGGTATATTCGCAGAGAGTGAAATTTTGTTGGAGGCGATCTGGCGAGGTTCATGTTGGGTTTAACTGCCACTCTGGAATAACTGGAAGCGCTAAGATTTTGCAATTCTCTGTTGCCTCCTTAAAGTGAAACGAGAAGGTCTCTCCTGCGTCGGTAACCTTCTCAAGTGTGGCATTTGAGCTTAAGAAAACATCTGCGTTTTGTTCGACGCATGGCTGTTTTTTTAATGTCCATAGAAATGTATTTATTTCTTGATTAAAAGGTGCTGATGTTGTATCAAAACCGTTAACGCGTAAAGGAACAGTGCTATTCCAGGTTGTGATAATTGCATAAAGGAATGTGTCGAGTAGGTGACATCTGGGTTTTTCCTCTTCCACATTTGACAAATATAATATTGTTATTTGGTCTGTGTGTTGGAAGGATGTGGTCTCCTTCATCTTGTGACAAACCACAAAGTAAGACCAACAAATCTATATCCTTGCCTACTTCGTACGAAGAGGATATGGAAATCTTCCTCTACCTGTAATGTTAGAATTTTGTTCTTCTCCAGGTGAACCTTCAGCATGTCGATGAGTCTAACTTTATTCCTGTCATTTAATAGAAACTTGTCCTAAGCAACTGAAGCGATGGATGTTTTATCGAATATAACATTAGGAGAGGATGTTGATAGAGCTCTTCGCAGACGTTCAGAGCTCTTGGTATTTTTATCTGAAGCATCAGACGGATATTCATCGAAAATTACAGTTATATTTAAGCAATAGCGATTTTGCAAGTATTGGACATATCTAGAACCAATTTCTTCAAAAGACGCATTACGAGGCAAAACTACTTTGTGGAGCAGATGTACACCGTCTACAACAACGTACGTATCATTCCTCTGTTGATTCTCATTTAGACTAGGATTGAAGGCTGTGTAGAATGATGACTTTGTACCCTTTCTGATTCCATCTTCATTAAATAATGAGATGGGAAATGGTGACAATTATAATATTTAATACATGTTATGTTACATATAAAAGTAAAAACAAAACACACTTTCAGTAAAAATCTACCAGACAACTAAAAAAAAAAAAAAATGTAATGTTTCCTTTTTTTTAAATTTTGCAAACTTTTAAATTTCCGTATCTTAAAAACTATTTGGCCTACCAAAACCAAATTATTCTCATTTAATTGAAAATTTAGTCTACTTAAAAAGTGTCCATAGTAACTTTTTGCCGTAACATAGGTCCTCGGTGGTAAAAATTGACAAAAACCGAAAAAACTCCTAAATTTTAATGAATTTTCAAGTATTTAACTGTGATCCGAAGGGCATTCGAGGTGAAAAACTTAAATTTGTCATAACTCATTTCATCACTACCAACTCATAAAAAAATCAGAACTACCTCATCTGATGTAAGGCAACACTTCTTTTTTAATACGATTTTCATGTACTATAAATGCCCTCTTAAAGCAAATTAAATAAAAATTAGTAAGCTGGGTAAAGCATCATAATTTTTGACGTTTCTTTTTACAAAGACAATAAAGTAGACATAAAAAAATGATCCATTTTTACGAACACTGAATTAGCTGACATGCATTTTACTTATGGGCTTGCAGACGAAAATGCGTACAAGGCCAGGCTAGTATACCAAGCGCAGTATCCAAATCGTGTACTACTTGAACCGAGAACATTTTCTAGGATCCATAGATGTCTCCAGGAGGCTGGAACTAGAAAACCACAGGGCTAAAGAAGTTCATAAAACAGTAAGAACGCCGGAACTTGAAAAAGGAATTTTATATAAAATTGAGGAGAACCCCGAAACTAGCACGAGGAAAATCGCGGTACTATTTAATATTTCACATGTACACATATTACATTCAAAGAGTCAAGAGATTTCCCGTTACCCATTAATTTCTGTGAGTGGTTTCTTCAAAACCTGCTAGAAAATCCGTTCTTTTTACCGACGAAGCTAATTTTTCTCGAAACTCAAAAATACATTTCCATAATAACTATTTATGGGCGGATGAAAACTCTTATGCAATTGTTATATTAAATCATCAAGAACAGTTGTCATTAAATGTTTGGGCTGGCAATATTGATGATTATTTGATGGTCCCATTTTTTCTCCCAAGACTTAATGAACAATCATATTTACACTTTCTTGAAGAAGATCTGCCTCCAATGCTTAAAGACCTTTCTGTTTTATTTAGAAACCAGATGTGGCTAATACACGTTGGGGCGCCTCCACATGTTAGCTTACCTATTGCAATAGGTGAATAGGTCGCAGAGGAACGCAGTCATGGCCACCTAGATCTCCCGACTACTTTTTCTGAAGGCTTCCGAAAAACTTAGTGCACCCAGTGCGGATTGAAATCGAAGAAAAATTATGAAATTGTGTGATAGTATATTGCCAAACCATAAGAACCACCCCAGAAATGTACGTCAGTCTAAGCAAAAAAAAGTAGATGCTTGCATACTTGTGGGTAAAGGAAACTTCCAACAATTGTCGTAAATATTTTGGGTTCTTTATTTTGTTTGTATTCTTAATATTTTGAATTTATCGTAAATGAATAACGATTTTTAAAATAGAATTTAAAAAAGTCATAGGTGTAGCATTTTTTCTAGCCAAATATTCAATATCATGCCTACGAAGACGTCACTGGTGGAAGTAGAAACTTAATTTTTGTCCCCTAAAAAAAGTGTTTTCACGCAAGATGGGTGCCAGAGGCGGCTCGTGGCCTAGTCTATGAGGAGGCTACGGAGGCTACTTTTGTAAGGCATACTTACGAGCCGCCACTGGTGGGTGCCTACCAAATTTCAACAAAATATCGAAGCAGTTTCGATGAACTTAAGGAAAAACATTTTTGGGTTTTTATTTTTTACTCGTATGAAAGTAGGTCTATCCAAATTAGCTCCAAAGTAAATGGGGATTTCAAAAATAATTTTGGTTTTTATAAAAAGTAGTGGCGTAATATTTTTTTTAAAAATATTCAGTTCAAACCCCGTACGGACGTCACTGGTCAAAATTGTAAAAAAAATTCCTTATTGACTGAAAGGTATGTTCAAAATTTCATGAAAATATTTGAAGTGATAAGAAAATTATGACAAAAATGTTATTTTTTCTTAAAACTGTGTTGATATTAGTTTTTCCTTTTAAAATTATTCAAGGATTTATACCCTTAAGTATAGGCACTGAATTAATAAACACCCTGTATATTCTTTTATTTATACTTTTGAATATTTTAAATCCTGAATAGAATTTTAAATCTAGGAAATGGAATCGCATATATTTAATTAGAGTTGATTACTAACGAAAGACAAATGGCATTGGAAGGTATGTATATAGAAAACGGAAATGCCCCTTTTGCAACAGATAAATATTCTCTTCAATACGCCATTGGTACTCATCCAATATATCAGAGATTGATGAAAAGAAGGAAGGACGAGGATGGTCAAACATTTAATGAAGTATCAAACGATTTTGAAATATCTGATTCAACAGAAATAATAAATAGTCACGAGGGAGATCACTACCAAGCTCCGCTAGAATATCAAATTGGAGATATTCCAGATATTATTGTAACAGATTACAGTGAATCAGTTGAACTAGCAGAAGTCCCATCCGTTGAAGTAGAGGAAGAATCATCATCAATCGATTCGTCGAAAATCCACACTGACAACGATTTTACCAAGAATATGCAGTTAAACAGCAAGTAAGTAAAATGTTTGGGTATTTTTTATTCTATTAGGTATTTTAAGATTACATCAAATTAATAAAATAATTTAAGACTTTGTTGTTTTCGAGTTCATCTTCTAAAACTTACAACTCTAAGTGATGCTAATTCAACGAGGTCTATTATTGCACAGTTTTTTATTATTATTTAGTTTATTCTTTTTATATGTCGTATTCGTATGAAATTCGTCTTTTCATAAAGAACCTAGTTACATCATGAAGTGCCGGCATATTGTGTAAAATCATAAAGCTACACAATCTGCTGAGGCTCTTTGTGTAGAGACCACATTCTTCCGTTGTATAAATTTGTAACATAATCTAACTAAATTTAAATATTGTCACGTTGTGGTGTGTCAGTGTGATTATATTACACGAACTCCTATTCATAATAAAATAAAGTCAGCCAACGACTACACTTGCCTTCCCAACAGTGAGAATCAGATCCATATGTACGATTTTAAGTACAATTATAAAAACATGATTCAGAGGGGCTTGCTAGTTAAATCAGACACAATACTCGCTCAAAATAAAATATATGTGACGATAAATTTAGATCTTAATTAGGGAAGTTTTATTCCAAAATCTATGTCTACCATGGGACGAATACACCTGATAGAGCACAAAATAGAAGTCGAAAACTTTTCTCCAATAAAAAGTAACTCTCCTTGGGCGAGCCCTATAGTACTAATTAGGCAAAATGACAAAGTACGATTTTGTGTAGATTATCGCAAACTTAATAAAAGAAAAATAATTAGCCAATACCCTAGTTAGACGACATATTAACATATTTAAACAGGGCTAAATATTTTAAAAACTTAGATATATTTAGTGGCTTCTGGTAAATACCTATGGAAGAGTCTTCAAAAAAATACACATCATTGGTGGCTCAAGGGCACGGCCAATACGAATGTAATATTTACTTACACACTAAATATAAACAATAAATTTTGAATCTTGATAAAAGACTTAACTTTTTGCCTTAGAGGCGCTTTGACTTTTTTACTAGTCATTTAATTCCCAATCACCCTCTATATCATTTGTTAATGCTGTACTACAAGTTACACATACTTTAACTTTTAAATCTACTTATAGCAGCTACATTTTTAGAATAATAAAATTACATTTAAATGATAAATAACCTGTCTGTCTTCAATATAAAGAAATATTTTGAAACAGAAGAAGTCATTTCGGAATTTTTAGGAACCGTTATTTTAAATCACCTCAGGACCAATGTGCAACTCTTCTTGTAGAACCCTTTCCCTACAATCGGCAATACAATTTAAAAGTTTGGTTGAGGAAAATCTTATATTTTGCTGATGTCTAGCATACCCTAAAAGCCATACAACGCTAGCAACATAAGCGCATGTATCTATTCACCTAGCTCTTGCTTTACAGGTACAGCAGTATCCTATTATTGGATACTCGCGATTCTCATTTGCTTTGTTATATACAACTCAAAGCCTATGTCTGGCTGCATTTACAAACCTAGAATACATTCTAAATCTTAACCAACTAGGTTTCTGATTTAACTCGTCGATTTGAATAAAATGGTGGTCTTTGAACAATGTCTTGTATGTAAGATGTCGCTAAATAAATATGGTAGGGACCCGTTAACTTTGTTAAACACTCTAATTTTAATCAAGGAAATTCAAGTACATGTCCATTGTTCAAACGATTTCACTGACCATTCTGGCGTAGAAGATTTTCATTTTGAACACGAATTTGGACCCCATTATTTTCCTGCAATTTGTCCACCATTTCAATAGCTATTTCGGGTGTTCCTCTTTTTTCAATTAAATGATGATACCTATTTATTAAAGCACCAGCAATTAAATAATATTCATTTAAATGAGCCGCATGCGACGTAGATATTTTTTCAGAAAAAAACTTAAAAATCGTCTTGAAGTGACCATTTCTAGATTATACTACTCATCTAGTACTTGTAATTATTCTGTTTTTGTTAGCCTCAAGAGTAGAAAATTGATTTTGGTGCGGTTAAAGAAATGAAGGCATATAATATTGAATTCCAACATACTCAAATGTGGCTATACAATTTCTATAGCCTCTATCGACTATTACAATGTCACCGTTTTGAAACCAGTTCCTTATTCCATTTAAATCATGATCTATAGCATGCATGGTTCAAAATCTCTGCATCGTTATTTCTTGCATCCGAGAAATATTGTCACTTCTAAAGTGTAACCATCGGGAGCTACCATTATTTCTAGGTTTACGAGGTGCTCTTTTTTGTGGTTACACTAAGATTGGCGTAATACTCTAAACTATTATTCGGCACAAATCGCCTGAGAAGTGATAACCGAACATTTGAAATTGTTAGGCTTACAGCTTGGCTGGAAGAATAGTAAAAATAATAATTTTAATAAAAATGTTAACAAATGCTTTTTATTAATCCTAAGCACATTGCTATATTGCTCTACGTCAGTACAAAATGTATATAACTCCTCAAAGTGATTTTTGGAAATAGACGTTAAAGTTTTAAATTGGTCTTCGGCGAAACTTTCTGTCCTTTCCCAATTTTTTATCCCGCAGTTAGTATTTGCTTGCATCCTTAAGCAAGATATAAAGCGTTGAAGATTTGGTACAATATATGGTTGGTTAACAAACCGTAAAACTCGTATTATACCTGGTATCACAAAACTCTTATTATTTAGATGATATTCGCATATTCTTAAAAACTCGTATATAAATCTCAGATACAACAAACACATTAACTCTACATTCAATAGATATTCTATGTAGGTTTTGTTGAGCATTACATATTATACAAGAATGCCTTGGAAGTGGAGAAAGAACATTAAAACATCGACAGTTCGGATCAATTTGTATTTAAGTTTATCCCTTACAGAATTAAAACAATTTAAACAAATTCTTGTATTATCACCGATATACAGCTCGGGAAATTAAACGCTCTTAAGATTTTTTGCAAAAACTAATAGTTCAAAAGTTATTCAAGGTCAAAGTTAAATTTATCGAAAATATCACCGTTTTTAATGCATTACACCGAATTTGATGGTCTTATCGAAACCATTTTTTAAAAAATTTGTGTTTATCTTGAATTTAGTCTTTTGGAGAAAGTTCAATTCTCTATAAGAATAAGTAATGGTTTTTTATTCTATGATACACCATGGGCTAGCAATAAAAATCAGAAGGTGCAAAAAAATTTTTTCCATGTTATTCTTATGAGAAATAGAAAAGTGCGATGTGGACAACTTTAATATTAATATTAAGTGCTCAACTTTTAACTGACATCTTTTTACGATAAAAAAAAACATTTAGGCCTGTTTGCAAAAATAATTTTTTTTTCTTTTTTGAATCACCGTAGTGTGTAGGCATAAGAAATTCAATCTAGCTTGTAAGTTTGCAAATAAAAATTTCCAAAAACTGGGCAATTTTCAACTTTAACACCCCGTATATCGAAAACTAGTCATAAGATTGAGTTGGGCACATTGACACTTTTGGTTGCTAGGTTGAATACAACAACATACCATAGTCTCAGAAAATTTGACGGGTCGTCACTTTGCATAAGAAAAGTGCGGGGTCCTCTTTTGACAAGATATAATTATTTTATTTTAGTGTATTCTGAATATGTTCAAAACATTTAAAATACTCTATTTACATTTTTGCAAACGTTAGATTTTACCTGATCGCAATACTTTTCCAATGCAGCGGAGAATTTAAATCTACCATAACTTCCTACCAACTAAGTAAGCATATAATCGTTTACATTATCCCAGATCGGCGATGCATGTATTATTCCCTCGGTTATTATAAGAGCTAGCAAATCGATTAAATAGCAAGTGTGTTCCGGGATTATATTAGCATTTCAAAACTATTTGTTTTGGATTTCGAAATATTCGCCAAAACCAAATTTGTATATCGGTTATATGTTTGTAAATTTTAATTAGTATCAATATACTTTTATTTTATTTAAAACATATATTTTTCAGACTGCATATTAACCAGAACGATACAAATCGTTTGACACCAAACAAGGAATTAAGGGAAACAATAAAGGATATCAGAATTTCTATCAGCGAAGATAGGGATACTGAAACAAACGAACCTCGAAGGAGATTTACTGTCTTACAAAATCAAATTCGTAAAGAAATTACTTCTTCAGTAAAAATATTAAGGACATTATTTGAAAGCAAAGTGAGTTAAACTAAAAATAATCGAATCTGAAAATATCGAAATTTAAAATAATATAATGAATAGAATCTTAAGACTTTTTCAAAAAATTTTGAACATTCCAAATAATTTGATTTTATTTTTGACAATATTTGATTTACCCCGTTTGACTTTTTAATACTTTACCCTCTACACTAAAAGTATACTGCTTCGAACGTAATCCCACAAACTATGTCATTATTTTGAAATTGTTTTTATCTTTTATTAATTTTGGAACATTTTATTTTCTTACACTGCAGGGGTTCCCAATCTTTTCTTGGTCAGGGACCACTTTTATATTATTTTGGTAGCAGGGACTAGAGCTGGGTAATTACATATACTTTAAAAATAATTACAATTGCAAAGTACTTTATCAAAAAAGGAATTAATTACAAGTACAAAGTACATGTTGTAAAAATAGGAATTATATTGATTTAATCACAATAACACAATAAAGGGAACTATCAATTACTTTTATAGTTACTTTTCTAATTACTCTGCGGTTAAAACAACAAATTATGATAGAATTGAGGAACCAAGAGCCAACCGGAGCGTTAAGAAGTTAAGAATAAACTTTTTAAATAGGTCATTCAAAGTGTTCAACCCGAGAATATGTTATATAAGCTTACTTAAAGTTATTCTCGGTTTGAGGTGACACATGACAAATTTTGTGTGACATAGGTACAGTCTAAATACCAGTTAGCAATTAGAGCTTGTTTACCCCAAACATTAGACTGCACCTATAGAATCGGATTGACATGTATAACCTAAAACTGAGTTTAACTTTAAGTAAGCTTTATGCAACCAGCCCTAAGCGTATTGTTTTCTATTCCATTTAAGGTCTCCTTAACTTAAGGGAGAAACAAAATCCAAAACAAGTAACATGTAGTATAAAAAATGGAACAGTCAAATTAATAAAATGTGAGATTTTAAAAGTTTATTGATTCGGAACAAAAATACAAAGTTCGTGTACTACCTAGGCTTGGGTACTTTTATATTGTAATCATACCTTACAAATCAAGCATCACTAGTCTGGGGCTGTTTAATCATCCCCATAAAAACTGTGGTATGCATAACTTCATATTATATTAGTTTATAATGTTTATGTAACATAAATTATGTTTATAATAATATAAATACAAAATACGTTTTAAAAATAAAAAACCTACATCTACTTACCTCTTACTGTTATTATTTTGGATTGAACAATTTCACTACTTTACTGAGGCTCTTTCCACAACACAGCGCTTTAATCAAATGAATTCAAACAAATGAAATGAATGCGAGTCCGAGCTCTAGTGACCCGTTTGAACAGGAAATTTGTTTTTATACCACGTGCATATCGTAAACACGTATTTAAAGTAATTGTAATTAGAAAATGTAATAATTTAAATAATATAATTACAAAATATAATTCCTGCATAGATCTTGTTGCAACTACAATTTCAAATTACTTTAAGAAAAAATGCACTTAAATACAACTACAAATTACAGGAAAAAAGTAATTGTAAATATTAATTACTTTTTAACTAGGAGTTACCCAGCTCTGACAGGGACCACTATGTAGGTAAAATAAAAATAAACTCTAATAATCAAACTGAAATATTAATTAAAAACTCAATAGGAAATTACATGAAAAGAAATACTAATATTTTTAGGTTTAACTTCTGTAATTTTGTACTAATGTGATTTTTGAGCTTGCATCTTCTTCACGAGTTCAACTATCCTAGGACTAATATTGTTACTCATCACTTACATTCAAAAGATTCCTGGCTTAGGTTTTTAATTACCAACAAAGTTATTGAGAAAACAATAAAATGACGCAAGGCAATTTCTCGAAGTTTAATATAAAAAATTGCTTTTTTACACCAAAAGAACTCGAATGAATTCGATTCAACAGCATCCTTGCAGTTTCTGTAATTTTGAAATTCAATGAGTTCTTCCTGGATTTCTTCAGTAACTTCACTAGCGTCCATGTTAAAAGGGTTACGAATCAGTTTTTGATCAACTTTAGCTTCTTCGGTATATTCTGGGAAGTAACGATTGAATCCAGCAATCAACATTTGCAAATGAGTTTTGTTATTTTCTTGTATATGCTATACTAGCGTTATACTTTTTATCTTCCGCAAGTGCTTTTAATGACGCAAATGCAGAATAATTATTTTCTTCAATTTTACGTGTTTGAAAATATCCAAAAGATAAATTCAGCTGATAAGCCGGATTAGTAAACTTTCAAAAAAATTTTGTCAACCAGAAAAATCCCAACCTCTGCCCTCAGTTTATATAATCTTCCCAATATATTACCTTTCGATAGCCATCGAACTTCTGTGTGAAAGAAAAGTGTTCATTCTGGTTGAAAACCATTGACTTAGAGTATACTTCAAAAAATATTTATAAAATAGCCACTGGTACCGAATTTAACGATATCTTTCTTAATTACCTCTTCATACGCATCGTTGTTCTATATTTCATTTATAAGATTATCGGTGTCTTTATACAAGTGGAAACTTTTCTTACATTTAATCATAGTGAAAATATCAAAGTTAAATATTATATAAAAAATAGAATCTTGCGACTTAAAAAAAATTAACATTCCAAATATTTTATTCTTGACAACATTTGATTTACCCCTTTTGATTTTTTAAATAATTTACCCACTACTTTAAAAGTATACTTCTTCGAACGTAATCCTATATAGTGAATCAAAATTTTATAATTGTTTTCATCGTTCATTAGGTCTGAAGCAGTTTTTTCTAACAATATACTCCATTGATTATTTTTAACATTGGTATTTTAAACATTGGTACTGAATCTAACAAAATCTTTTCTAATTACCTCTACATATGCATCGTTACACTGTATTTTGTCAAGGCTATCGTTGTCTGTGCACAAGTGAAAATTTTTCTAACATGTAATGATAGTGAATATTGTTACACTGTATCACAATTTATTTCAACTCAACTTTAACAACAATTATATAACTGATAACATTAACATGTAACGTCTATCATCAAACTGAAAACTGACGTCAGGATCATCCTTATATAGCTTGCTTGACCCTACTCGAACCTTCTTGAACTGTCATCTAGAATTCTTCTTCTTCTTCTATCTGAACGTTTTCTAGAATAGCCACAGGCTATTGCAGGGTGCTGCGTAACAATATTTTTTGTAAAATACCACTGAATTATGAAATATTATCGAATTTTAAAATATCAAATTATACCATTACATAGAAATAGAATCTTAAAACTTTTTCAATTTTTTTTTTAAAATATTGCAACTAATCTGATTTTATTCTTGACAACATTTGATTTAACCCCTTTTGCTTTTTTAAATAATTCACCCACTACTTTAAAAGTATGCTTCTTTGAACGTAATCCTACATAGTGGACCATTATTTTGAAATTGTTTTCATCTTTCATTAGCCCCACAACATTTTTGTTTTCTAAAGTCATTGAATATTTTTAAAATAGTCATATATAAGACTATGGCTGTTTGTATAGAAGTGGAAATCATAATAACATACTCTTCATTGAATATACAAAATATAAATGATTTACAGTAGTTGTACATGTTTTGTAATGAGTAATTGCTATTTTAGAAAAGCATGGCTTCATGTGATCCAAAACTCAACAATGGAGAAAAAAGAAAGGGTACTACTTCAAAGGATGACAAAATACAAACTAAATACAATACAATCCATACCATACCAGAAGAAATTGAAAATAATCACAAAGTTGAATCACTTAAAACTGATGACAAACATGAAACAGTGGAAGCATCTGAACAAAAACAAGAGCTTACTACTGAACAACATGTTTTCCAGAATACAATGGAAAGTGAACTAAATATGCAGAATCATACAGATAACATAAAAGATGTGAAAATAGTGAATCAACAAGAGAAATTATCTGACGTGATTAATCAATCGCAAGGTGAAAGTAATATTAATGATAAGGAACTAGATCAGTCTGAGGAATTACAATTAACTGAAAATTATCTATGTTTAAATTATCTCTTTAATATCGCAGAAGAGGCAATTGAAAAAGAAAAGGATATCATTGAAGAAGACTACACAATTATTGAAGAAGAAGATGGCACAATCGAAGAAGAATACATAATTAAAGAACAAGACACAATTAAAGAACAGAACATGATAAAAGAACAAGAGAGTATTAAAGAAAAAGAAATAATTGAAGAACAAGATAAAATTGAAGAAAAAGACAACCGCAAATTGCCTCTAATAGTTTATGAAAAAGTAAATAAACTTAAAGCATCTAATCTGAATCAAGTTATGAATCAAGAAATGATTGAAAGCAAATTAACCAAACCGAAATGTATTGACAATACACAAAATTTTCTTAAAAACAATGAGCATGAAAATATACTTGAAAATATTCATCAAAAATCAACTAAAAATGAACTCATTAAGGCCAATGAAAATGACAGCATTGAAAATAATTTAGGCAAAGATAATGATTCGAATATATCAAATAAAAGTAAACGAATTATGTCTAGTGAAAGTGAGTGTGTTCAAGATAATTCATGCAATGATAATAATCTGCATACGTCAAATCATACACAAGATGTTATAGAGCCAGATCAAAAAGAAGAAACGTTTGAAAAAAATCTACAAAAAATTTCCGAGGGAGTTTTTGAGATAAATCATTACAATGACTATGAAATAAATTGCAAATTAAGAGAAAATAATCAATATGTGACTGATCCAAATTCGAATAAAAAAATTAACCAACCTGCATTGAATGAAGATGTTCAACCTCTCAAAGAGCAAAATAAGTACGACGATCTTGCTAGACAACTTCAACAATTATTAAAAAGTGAATCAATGACGAAAAATCACGGTGATTACACAGAAGAACTAACAGAAGAGGATAGAATTCAAAATCTATTCCAAGAGGTCTTCCTAAAATGGGATGAAATAGAATTTAGACTTCTGAATAATATCGGCAGCACGGATCATATTTATGAGGAAAAAATGTTTCAGGAAATGTACGAAAAATTGAGTGAAGATAAATCTGAGATGCAGGATACTATGTCAGACCGATGTACGCGCACCGATCCTTCAAAAAAATCTAAATTTCAAACTCCGCACGAGTTGAGTTTGAAACGTTATAAAAGTGAGGCTCAGTTATATGATCATCACGATTTGGTTTTACCTAAACGAAAAGACAACACTCTGATTTCGAAAATTTACTTACAACTTGGAATGGTAGATAAAAAAAATAGTAATGCCAAATCTCGCTGGGATGATAATAAAAATCGAGGAAACATAAGAATGAACAGGTAAGTCCCAACTAGAAAAATAAAAGTTTAACTAAAACTTTCAAATTGTTTACTACCAGTTAAAAAGTTTAAGTAAATAGATCTCAGAAACATCATTTAATTATTTTATAAAAATTTACATACCTTCTAGTCTGGTTCACAAGTGCCATTTCCCTCGAAACCTGTCCTCCAGCACCGAAAATTATGATTTTGGGCTCATTCGATTCGGAATGGCATCTAGAACATTTTATCAAAATTCCAAGAGGGGCTGAAAAAAAAATGCAAAAGTTATAAACAATAAAGTAAAATAAAAAATAAAGGTTTGGTTTTTTTGAAATATTTCAAAAACTATTTGAGATAATCGAAATTTGAAATAAGATCCTTAAAGAGCAGGAAATTTCCTAAAAGAAAGTCCTACCTCCCGGAACTGTACCAACAACCCTTATAATTTTAATTAAGCGGCGAAAATAACGGTAAAAACGCGTGGTTCGGCAGCCGCGCGCATCGCCCCAATCTGACACACGAACTAAAAAATTATTTTAACTGAATAAATATTAATATTAAGGAATAAAAAAATTTGGGTACTAAGTAGACATATGAATAAACAATAATCCGCAAACAAAAAATTTTTATCACTATTTTTTATTAATTATGCTTCTGTTAATTAGTTAATTTTCACCATTTTAATGTTAACATAAAAACGCTAATTATTTCAAAACAAGAAATCTAGAATTTTTTTTGATTTTTTTGAGCTATTGTTAAAAGGGTTTAAAAGAGATCCCCGTTGGAAAAATTCAAAAATTTTGATTTTTCACTTTTTTATTAACAATCAAAGGCGTTAAAAAATTATTTAGTACAATATTTTTAAAAGTTAAATAAAAAATAATAAAAAAAATTTTTCAATAAAAAAATATATACGGTTGTTTTTGTAATATTTTTTAGTATTTAAAAAAAATATTGCGTAAAATTGCATTTGTTTATAACAAATTTTTATATAATATATATAACATATATATAATTTTTTAATGCCTTTTATTGTTAATAAAAAAGTGAAAAATCAAAATTTTTGAATTTTTCCAACGGGGATCTCTTTTAAGCTCTTTTAACAATAGCTCAAAAAAATCAAAAATAATTCTAGATTTCTTGTTTTGAAATAATTAGCGTTTTTATGTTAACATTAAAATGGTGAAAATTAACTTATTAACAACAACATAATTAATAAAAAAGAGTGATAAAAATTTTTTGTTTACGGATTATTGTTTATTCATGTCTACTTAGTACCCAAATTTTTTTATCCTTAATATTAATATTTAATCAGCTAAAATAATTTTTTTAGTTCATGTGTCAGATTGGGGCGATGCACGCGGCAGCCGAACCACGCGTTTTTACCGTTATTTTCGCCGCTTAATTAAAATTATAAAGGTTGTTGGTACAGTTCCGAGAGGTAGGAATTTTTTTAGGAAATTTCCTGCTCTTTAAGGATCTTTATTCAAATTTTGATTATCTCAAATAGTTTTTGAAATATTTCAAAAAAACCAAACCCTTATTTTTTATTTTACTTTATTGTTTATAACTTTTGCATTTTTTTTCAGCCCTTCTTGGAATTTTGATAGAATGTTCTAGATGCCATTCTGAATCGAATAAGCCCAAAATCATAATTTTCGGTGCTGGAGGACAGGTTTCGAGGGAAATGGCACTTGTGAACCAGACTATATTTGTCAAATTCCAATTATGTACCAATATTTTACACCCCATGGTAAATAAAGATCTAACCTACTTCTATTACACAAAACATGATGGCAGAGACATTGTTTTGTAGGTGAACACGCCCATTGATTTATGGATATAACGGTAAAAGTAAAACCTGCATTGTGCATATCCTATAAAATTTATGTTTCAATACTTTTCAATATTTTAGAAAATAAAGTACGTTACCGACAATTTATCTTCAAGCTACTCATTTACAACTTACACAAAATTCACAAATGTTCTCCTTCCTTAAGGAGGTCCTTTCGCCACCAATGTTAAATAAAAAATATTAGGTTATGACTAAAATTCATTTTTTTCTAATAGTTGAAGTCCTTATTTATCTAATAGTGAACTTTTAACTATACCTTATCGTGCAAATTTTTGAGAATTTTTTTTTAAAAATGTGAGTATTTGTACAGTGTCTTACGAGAAAGTAAAACCTCAACAACAATTCTCGAATTATACTATTATTTATTGATTAGATGGAGTAGAAAAAAACTAAAAATAAGATTTTTGAAATATTTAGGTTTTGTTTTTTACAATAAAATATATAGGTTACCGTGGAATTTATTGAGAAATTAATGTTAAAAAAAATTTTTAAGTAACCTAGTTGAAATTTTTTTGTGATTTTTCTCTTATAATGGACCAACAGTACTCCCCTAACATGTTTTCATCCCAAAACCCTTGATGTCGTTCTTCAAAAACCTTTAAATCTTGGTGGAAACGTTCCCCTTGTTCGTCACTCATATTTCCTAAGTTTTCAGGAAAAACTCAGATGCGAGTGCAAAAAATGAATCTTTAATGACATGTTTACTCCCATCTGTTGAAAACTTTCCAATAAATCGATAATAACTTCTTTCTAATTTTCACTTTCTTATTTCCCAAAAATTCTGCCACAACCATTTTGAATGACTTCCAAGCAGATTTTTCATTAACAGATAAAAGGCTTTCAAACTGAGAATCTTTCATAATTTTACGGATCTGTGGGCCAACAAATATACCCTCTTTTAGTTTTGCTTCTGTTATGCTTGGAAAGATTTTTTGTAAATACCGGAAAGCATCACTGTTTTTGTCAAGCGCCTTTACAAATTTTTTTATAAGTCCCAATTTGATGTGTAAAGGGGGTAGAGTGATGTTATTTGGATCAACCAACAGCTCATGTTTAAACGTTCATTTTGCCCGGAATATACTCATTCCGAATAGGCCATTATTTTCTTACATAATGATGCAGTTTTGTAATACTGTCCCACAAACAAAGCAAACAAGAGTATTTTCTGTAACCACCCTGCAATCCCAATAACAAACCGATGACCCTGAGGTCGCTGCACATTTTCCATTGGTATTCTTTATACGTTATTAAATTAATTAAAGTACACATCGTGTCCGATTGGTATAGACGGTTTCTTAGTGTATGAATAACCACCACTCTGTTTTATCAAAGTTTAGATTCATTGTTTCAAAAAGCCCCGGGATATCAGAACAACAAAAATATTCACCATCTAATTTGAAAAATTCTGAGTAAAATTTGCTTCTGCTTCTGAAAAACGTAACTTTTGTGTTTGGTGTTAATAAAGTTCCATTGTTGTAAACGGGAACCAAGAAGCTCTGCTATAGATCTTGGTAATTGTAAATCTCTTATAAAATAATTTAATTCGGCTTGGTTAATTAAATGTGGAGTGTTTCTTGAAGAGAGAACTCGTCAGGATCGCTAGAAATCGATTTGAATTCAACGTCACTTTCATTGTCACCTAGTATATTTGAACTCGAATTACCGGGACAAACTGAATGTGGTAGATCTTTTGAATGCAAAATGGGCTTAGCAACAGACGGAATTTTGGCATATATAATACTCGCCTTTTATTTTTTTATTATATACCAATAACTTCTTAACACAAAAATAACAATCATTTTCATGATTACTAGGTTCTCTCCATAGCATTGGCAAAGCAAATGGAAGGTTGTCGGCTGTCGAAAGTACGAATTGTTTAATGTATGGTATTTCTGTTTGTGTGCAATGCGTGCATAACGATCATAGCCCAGGGCTAGCCTAACACACCTGTTCTGAGCGATTTGCAGAGTTTTGTAATGTGCATTAGCTATCGAACAGAACACTGGGCACCCATAGGCTAGTATAGGCATGTGGACGGTTTTATAAATTAGGAGTTTATTTTGCAGTGATAGTTGCTTCTTCTATTAAGAATTGGGTATAGCATACGCGTGACTGCACTGCTTTTATTCGCCTTATCCTGAATATGTGGTTTAAACGTTAATCCCTTATCTAGCTGAAACCCGAGATATTTTAATGATGTTTTGGTAGGGATTTCATCGTCTCCAATTTTTAGGGGTGTCATGATTGACTGAGCTCTCTTTTTGTCAAAAGGACGCACTCAATTTTTGTTGCGTTGATTTTAATTTTATTTTCAGCTAAATAGGGGATTAACGTGTCATTTATATGGACTTCCAGGTCCCTGACCGCTGTTTATACTGATTTATCACTTTTGAAGACGCAGGTGTCGACGGCGTATATCGCCATCTGTACCCCATTATGTCCCATTGGCATATCATGGGTCATGATGGTGTACAGATGCGGCGATAGTACCGAGCCCTGAGGTACTCCCGCTTGCACTGTATAAGGTCCTGCGATTGTAGAGTTTAGTTTAATGTTGAATTGTCTGTCCTGTAAGTAAGAATTATCTTTACAATGTACACTGGAAATTCATTCACCCGCATCTTGTGAATTAACCCGCAGGCCCATACGGTGTCTAAAGCTTTCTCACTGTCTAGGGTGACAAGCACCGTTTGCAGGTCATTATTAAACGCCTGTTTGGCGTGATGTACAATTCTAATGATCTGGGCCACGGTGCTATGTCCGCTTCTAAAACCGTACTGTTCCTGTGGGACAATTTGTCGTTGTTCTTCTAGTTGTTTAAGTCGTTTTAGAATGATTTTGTCTGTGATTTTTGCTATTGTGTTTAGCAGTGAGATGGGTCGGTAACTTTCAATATGTTTAGGGTTTTTACCCTGTTTGAGAATAGGTATAATATTTACCACTTTCAGGCTACTAGGATAGTGTTGTAATCTAAAAATGGCATTTATTATATAATCAATCAAATTAAAATAAATAAATCAATGTCTTTGATAAAACAAATAAGATTTTTAGCATTTGGTGTTTATTAATAAAACAATCTGAAATAATTTTAATACAAATAACTAATTATTGCTTTTTGTTTTCCCAATAACACTACGCCACTGGAAATTTTCTACGTTTCTGACCGGAGTCCTTGTTAAAACACACAACCTAAAATTTCACGATATGTTCGTGACATCGCTTAACATTGAATACTTATAAGTCTGTCTCTCTCATGGTCCCTCTATATGTCCTAGTTCTGTGGTAACTCTTCTTCGGATAAAATCGACATTAATCTAAACTATTAAGGTTGGGAGCTGGGTGGTCATGGCTGCACTCCTCCATGACTTATCCAGGGATTGCATTAGGTGTGATTTAAAAATTCGCGCACTGGTGAGCTGAAATGTGGAGGCGCACCATCGTGCATTAGCCATATCTAATTTCTTAATAAAAGAAAAAGGTCTTCAGGAATTGGCGGCAGATCTTCTTCAAGAAAGTGTAAATATGATTTTAAATTAAGTCTTCTTGGGAGAAAAAATGGTGCTATCAAATAATCAAATAATTGTCAATAATCCCAGAACTGTTCATGATGATTTGATTCAACAATTACTTAAGGGTTTTCATTCGCCCATAAATGGTTATTATGGAAATGTATTACTGAGTTTCGAGGAAATTTAGCATCAACGCTAAAAAGAATGTGCCTGTCAAAAAACGGATTTTACAGAAATTAATGCGCCACGAGAAATCTCTAGGAAGTAATGCCTGGGCTTTTTGAATGTGATATGAGTAAAATAAATTTTCAGTGAGAATTTTCTAAACAAGTAGATGTGAAACATTAAATGTTGCAGTGATTTTCCTTATGCTATTTTCAAGGTTCTCCTCAATTTCATGTAAAATTTCTTACTGTTTTAATGTACTCCTTAGGCGCTGTGGTCTACTTTTAAAGTTCCGGCCTCGTGAAGACGTCTATGAATCCTTGAAAATGTTCCCGGATCGGGTAGTATGCGATTTGGATACTGCTCTTGGTGTATCCGCCTGCTTTCGTATGCAAGCCCATAAGTAAAATACATGTCAGATAATTCACTGTTCGTTAAAATTACCATTTATCAGATATTACCTCTTACTCTAATAATAATAATTAATTAATAATGTAAAATTAATGTTAACTTTATTGTGTTTGTGAAAGAAACCGTCAAAAATTATGACGCTTTACCTAGCACTTAATGTGCTTACCGTTTTTTTATATTTTAACATTCAATATCATGCCTACGTGAACGTCATTTGTCAAAGTAGAAAATTAATTTTTGTCCCAAAAAATGTTTTTACGCATGGCGGGTGCTTACCAAATCTCAACAAAATATCAAAAGCAATTTAAATGAACTTAGGCAAATTTTTTTTTGTTTTTTATATTTTTAAGCGAAAACGGTGCGTCGTATGCCAAATTTGCTCCAAAATAAATAATAATTTCCAAAATATATTTGGATATTACATTTTCTTCTTAATATCACCCAAGGATTTACACACTTAAGTATCGGTACTCAATTAATAAACACCCTGTATATTGATAATTTATTAACGCTCTGCAAGTAGAACGTCACACGTCTTGGTATATGCTTATATTTCTGAAACGTTGAGTTTTGCTTAAATATGCGGTAAAATAAATTCAAACGACTCGTGAAAAACTTTTTAAAAACTTTTATTTACTTTCGAAAAACTAACAGAGATTCTCCCGAGAATATGTAAAGGGTGGCAAATTGAATTTGTATGAAAAATAGCTTGGATTGAATATTTATAGGTTGATAATATGTTTCCTGCTGATAAAGCATAATCTGGAGTCGCGTCGGTGGACCACACTTTAGAGTGGGGTTGTTACTGGTAGGTGGAGTGTCTAAACCATCGTTGATTTCTATCCTAGATTCATCTTATACTGTTTACTATAGCTGTACATTTTACTAGCGGGATAACTATATTAAATTTTTACCTTTGAAGAATTAGTTGTTTTATGAATCTCAAGGGTTTTCCTTGTTGCATTACCTTTGACATACCGCTTTCTTACTCTTTTCCTGCTCAGTTCACCAAGAATTGTTTTGTTTTATTTATGTTTTTTTATTTATACAAATAAATATGAATTCTAGACCCCCTATGGACCATGAACCGATTAAAATTCGAAAACAATATCAAAGCACAGCAGGAGAAACTAGAATATATTTGGAAAATAAGCGAAATAGAAGAATTTCTTTGGGAAGGTTTCTTACTGTCCAAGATATACATGCATTAGAGAAGAGAAAAATTGTTCAAAACATCCTGTCGAAATCCCAATTTCAGGAAAGGAAAATTTAGTTTAACAAAAATGGAAGTAAGATTAACAAATGTTTACATTTTCTTATATTTATCTTTATTTCTAGATCAGTTTCTGTGATACGACATTTTTAAAAAATAATATTAAATATGTAAAATAGTTTACTTTGCTTACAGACTGATTATAATTGTAGAAAAAGTATTTACTATGTACTGTTATTACCAAAATGTTTTATTTTTTAAAAAATTGTTCCCTATAACTTTTTATAACTCAATACTATATTCTTGTGTCTTTTCCCTGGTGGTGTCTTTTTTTATCAAACTTTCTATCTTGTTACAAAATTCATTTTTTCTTCTTTGTCTCTGTCATTTTTCTTCTATTTAATAAGTTCATATTACCTTTTTTGAAATTTTACCTTAATTTACATTGTTAGTTATATTAATTTTGTTAACTTTGCGTTAGAAAATTATAAGTATTATCAATTATCATTAGTTAATTATCCATTAGTTTTATTTTTACATAACTTCTGCCACATATTTCTATTTATTCACTAGGTGTGATAATTCAGTCTTTTTAATTTTTTTCACCTATTCGCACAAATCAACGATACATTTTTATAATAATGAAGTGCAATTCTTACGAGTTATCTAAAATTCAAGCAAATTGACACAGGGCAATTTTACATAAGATAGCGTGACTGATAATTTGTTACTTCCATGAAATAATCCATAAAGATTGGAGCATAAAAGCAAATTAACTTAATTCTTAATGAATTTACAATTTATGTACCTATTCAAAGATGGAAGTATGCTTAATACATAACATACAGGGTAGAAACTTTTTCACATGAAAATACTGATACCGTTTAAATAATAATCAATTAATAGTAGGGGTTCTTAAGATAGTTAAGATAGGGAATAACTGAATTGGTATAGTACGAGCAAGAGATATAGTGTGACTTTAAAGCTTTAAAGCCAGACGGCAACATACAAAAAAACTAAGGACACTGATACAATAAATATAGTAGAGGAGCATTCAAGAGAATGAGTATACTTATTTTATTTTTACCTCTCACGATAAAAGAAAGTATTGTAATCGTAAAACATGTTTTCCCCATTCCATCGGTCTATATGCCGTCCGCCGTCTGTTGTCTGCCGTCTGTCTGTTGTCTGCCGTCTGTCTGTTGGCGCGATAGCTCAAAAACGGCTTGAGAGAAAAACTTCAAATTTTGTATGCAGTAAAGCTTCCTTTTGTCTCAAAACCGGTTATACTTCTGGTCAGATATATACAGTGTGAGCAATTAAGAAAACATTTATTTTTAAAAGTCAGCAGATTTCGACTAAAATAGGTTTCAGATAAAATTGTTATTTAATCAAAGATAATAAGTCATGAATTACTTTTTAATAATTCAAAATGTTTTTACAATTTTTACAGGGTGTTTTTAATGGTATGCTAATATTGTAGGGTGTGATTCCTCAGGTCATTTTATAAAGAAAAGTTTTTATGAACAAATGTCCGCAACGGCTTCAATATTTTGCTACAGGGGGTTAAAAATTTGTTTTTTAAAGAGATATTTTTAATTATTTAGATATAATTTTCAATTTTGACTTGTGTTATTAGGATATAAAACCACATATTTTAGTTAGAAAATTTATTTAATTGTTCTACCAGTGGCGTCTCTGCAAACATGTCATTTGATATTTTCTACAAAAAAAGTAGTACGACACTGACATTTTTCCATGTTGATATTTATACTCATTTGACTGGGTAATTCTACATCAATACGGCATCTTTTATTTTTAAAATAATTCATGATCTGTTATCTTTGATCAGATAACAATTTTATCAAAAATCAATTTTAGTCGAAATCTGCTGACTTTTAAAAATAAATGTTTTTTCAATTGCTCATCCTCTATAATATCTGACCGTAAGTATAACCGGTTTTGAGCTACCGCGCCAACAGACAGACGGCAGACAACACACGGCGGACAGACCGACGGAATGGGGAAAACATTTTTTCGTAATCTAGGGACCCGAAAACGTGAAAATCTAAATTTTCACGATTACAATATTTCCCTTTTTTCCAGGGAAGTAAGAAAAATAAGTATACTTAATCTTTTGATTGCTCCTCTACTAATTTAAAGTTGATATATCAGTCTTCTTAGTTTTTTGTATGTTGCCGGCTGGCTTTGAAGTTTTAAAGCCACATTATATCTCTTGCTCGTAGTATACCAATTTCGCATATTTAATTATTATTTTGTTTAGTTTTCTATACTGTTTTAAATTGATTTAGCAAAATTCACAATAAGAATATCCTTTTTATAAGGACCATATTCGACTTTATCGATATTGTCCGCTCTATATAAAAATGTAATTTTTACCATAGTATTACTTTTAGATCCTGGGTATGTTAGGCTTTTGAAACCAGATCTTTAAGGACAATCCAAAATGAAAAAATCGGGGAAGAACAATATATTATATTAAAAATTGTTTAAAAAATAGCTGACTTATATTTTTAACCTACAAGTGCTGGAAATTATTACACCTCCACTTAAATTTATATTATATGTTTATTTTAATTAAAAATTTAAATAAAGTATTTATATCAATACCTGTCATGTTTTTTTATTCATCTTGTAAAATAAAACCCGAATGGTTGTTTCACACGGTTTCAAACAACAACTGTAACGAATCCCTACGAAAAAAATATTTTATAATTTATCACTTACCAGACTTTCCAGTGATATCCATGGCTTTCAAATTATGGCCCTTGATAATTGTTATTGTCAATCTTCCTGCTTTCGGGAGGTAGCACAAACAAATCATTAATTCTCCTAAGTCTACTTTGTCCTGAAAATAATAAATTCTATCAATGATACATTTATATGAAAACAGAGACATGGCTTTGACATAAATATTAAAACAGGAAATTTAGTTCGGTACTGAGATCTTAAATAATTATTAGGAAAAGATAAATATAATTTCCTATAAATGTCGCAATTTCCACTCTACAAGGTCATAAAATAACTTTCAAAAACATTTAATTATATGAATATCTTCATTTACAGTAAAGACAATAACTTAAAAATGTATACATGTTAATAAATCAACAAAATACATTATAAATTACAATATCCCATTGCCGTAGAATTAGGAGAAAAATAATTTTGATCCAAATCTTGTGTTTAATAAAAGTTAAGATTCATAATAATTATTTCTTACACAATTTGTAACAAAAAAGGTTCTCTTTTTACTATCTGTAGAATTGCCAAAATTTTCAGTTTTAACAGTACTCACACATAAAAGCTAATTTTTATTTAATAAAACTTATTAGGAAATAGAAGTTTTTATTAAAAATTAAGCAGAATAAAATTATTAAACATAAAATAACAATAATTTTATTGCCCAACAGATTAATCCATTTACAGGACATTTTACATGAGAATAATGTCAAACATAATATTTAGACAGAAAATAATTTTAACATCTGCAAGAAAAAAAAAGAAGAAAAAATCCTAAATACATTAGCTATAAGTACAATTAATGTTATTTAATATTTTTTCCAGGCAGTCGAAATAAATATAACAATCAGAACAATACTGATTAAAATTATCGTTATAGGCGAATTTCTTCCCAAGCTTTTTCGAAAACTTGCTGTTTGGGGAATATTAAAATTTATTTGATTTAGTGATGCCGCGAGACGAGAGATTCTCGTCTTTCGTCTCGTCTCGAAAGAGACGAGAGAGACATTTTCTCTCGAAAACAGATTCGAGACGAGACGAGAGAGAATTTCTCGTTTCTCTCGAGCTCTTTCGGGCTCTCTGGAACAATTTTCTCTTTGCTTAATTGAAATTTTCAATTGCTTATCGTAACTTAAAATTTTAACATATTAGATTTCGAGATAGTCAAAAAATTAACTATAACAAACCTATTCTACATGTATATTAAATGGTAATAAATGATACTTGTGTTATTAGAATTTTATAAATAGTGATTTATAAGAAAATAGTAGTTTGTGCAATAAGTGCGCAAAGTGATACTTTTCCCACGAGCGAAGAAATTTGCGAACACGAGCCGCCAGGCGAGTGTTCGCAAATCGAGCGAGTGGGAAAAGTACTTTGCGCACATGTTGCACACAATACTTTTTCTACGATCACGATTTTAAGAATTAAAATTAAAAAACTTATTTGAAATAATTTGTAACCATTTTTATTAATAATATATTATGGGAATGTAATTTAAAAATTATAAATTTATCTTTTAATTAACTTAATTTAACACTTAATTTAATTTAATTAATTATATTTAACATTATTTGATACAAAAGAAACACATTTTTTATTTGAAATTATAATTTATGGTAAAATTTGAGCAATTTTGAAGTGTTACTCCAGGTGTCTCTCTATTTTTTACTCAGTAACTGTCGAAATATTTGCTGATGATGTCGAAGGCTTTTCTTGTTGGTTAGATGAGGAGTCTACTGAGTTTACAAATTTATTGGCTATCTCTATTTTATTTGAGATGGCGTCGTCAACATAGCTCTCTGCAATATTGCTTGATCGCCATCCACCATGGCGTTTAAGAGTTAATACATTAGCTGAAATAGTGGCAGATGAGCGTCGAAAAGAATGGCCAGTATAAAGATTAGAGTTTGGCAATTGTAAAAATTGTGCCACTTGTTTAGGCATTTTGCTAATTTTGTTAATTCCGACAATTTGCCTTGTGCATTTACGCCCTTGGTAATTCACAAAAAGACGTCTGTCAATGACGTTATCAGGGCGAAGACAAGCGTACTTTTTGTATATATTATAAAATTCTCCAGTTACCGTGAACGATCTTTTAATTTTGGTTTTCGTGCTTTGAATCCTAACCAATAGGGCAGTCTTTAGATCTTCCACGTCATCTAATTTTATATTCCACAATTCTTCTCTTCGACAGGCACCAGTTAAACCGATCGCAAGGACAGTCTACAAGTTTAAAATACATTACTTTTAGATATGTTTTTTGTTTTTTTTTTAAAGAAGAATTTTAATAGGAATTTTAATTATTATAAAAAAAAGCTAGCAAGCACTGTGGGATTTGAAGCCCGGCCGTTTTTATCTCAGCCCAACACTCTACTCTCTGCGCTACGTAGGCTTGTAACTGTATTTCGCGAAAACATTATAGTTATTTTAAGGTGAAGGCGGAGAAAAAGTCCTTTATATCTCACAAGGAAAGTCCATGTTTAATAATTTAACAAAACATTGAGTGCGACCGGTTTCGAAGTGTCATCACTTCATCTTCAGGCTCGCCTAGTGGAAAGGAGAATATGTGGTGTAAGGTGTGTTAACACTTAGAGCAAACGATATATAAAATAGTAAAAAAGAGAAAACTCACCATACTCTCCATCCACTAGGGAATACTACAAAACAAGTTTCATCCAATGTGGGGTGAAATAAATTGTAAAATGAACAAAGTTTACAAGTAATAAAAAGTTAAAAATATTTGAAAAAACAAATATTAGTCAATTGAAATAGTAAAATTTAATATATTCAAGACCATACAATCGCACTCAATGTTTTGTTAAATAATTAAACATTGACTTTCCTTGTGAGATATAAAGGACTTTTTCTCCCCCTTCACCTTAAAATTACCTCAACTCACACATGGCTACCCCCCTTGTCAACATTATAGTTAGTTAAAAAACATATTTTAAAATTCGTTCTTTTTAAATATTTTATATTATAACTAAGTTATTAAACTAAATTTTAAAAATCAAATCAGTGTGTTACCTTATTTTAAATGTAACGTTTATTGGATTTCTTCAGATGTTAAGGTTTTTAATTTTTTGGGCTTGTAATTATCATTTTGTCTTTTTAAAAATGCTCTTAATTTTACGTATTTCGAAATGTCCACATTGTTTTTTATACTTAATGCACTTCGCAACATTGAATATTGTGACCATAGTGTCGAAGCTTTATAAGATTTTGATTGTTCTTTAAAATAGGCGAGAATTACATTCTCAGAAAATGATGGTATTTTCCTATTTTTCCTCCATTCCCTAAATTTTTGATAAGCACATTCATACTTTTCTCTTGATTTTTAAGGCAAAAGATTTAAACTTGCATTCAATGCAATTTCAACAATTTCATATATTCAACTTCTGAATCTGAATTATTATTGTCAATTCCTTCCATGTTGAATTATACCTATATTGTATAATATGATACGTCGTGTTATCAAATATTTAAATTAAAAATTAATAGGTAGGTAACTATTATGTATTATTTTTGTATGAAAATAATTCAAATCTTATTTTAAATATAACAAATGTCAAAATATGATATTATGAATCACGAACTGCCAGCAAATGTAGCATCCTACGATAGATGCGTGGGAGATCTAGTGTAATAGTTCTCTACTGTTCTCCACGCATGTGTAGTGTGCGGTACAGGAAATTCTGCACGACTTTTCGCACAGTGTAGGAAATTATTAACTTTGAACGTAAGTAAGCCATGTCTATTTGTATACTTTCTATAGTGATCGTAGAAAAAATATTTTTCATTTCATTTATTTAAAATTTATACAATCATTTCTTATATTTAATCCATTCTGCTTTTCTGAGGTTACTTTTGAAGATAAGTTGAAAATTTTTAAGAATTTTTCGAAAAATTGTCAAAGAAAAGGTAATACAAACGAATGTATTATATACAGTGAGGACGAAAATTGTAACCTCCTCTATTTTAACTTCTAAATGAAAAAGGATAATAACAAAAAAAAAAGAGATAAAACTCAAGAGATATTATATTTTTGTTATAACGAGATGCACTTTACTTGAGATACGTAAGATAGAGGGAGTTACTAGCTTTAAATTTTCTAATGGATAGTAGTGTCATGTGATACCTCATTTGAAAGATATTTTCTATATTTTTACGTTCATGTAAAGAGATTTAGGTTTTTCTGTTTTTACAGAAATTACATTAAATAAATTGATAAAGTAGATTAAATTCTTTTTTTTATTTACCGCTTCAACCTCAAAGGATGAATACCTTATAAATGCTCTTTTTTATAATATATTATAGTATACAATTGATAATTAATATTTTGGCTAGTACCTACAGAGTAAATGTTAGTATCTTTTATAAATTTAAGTAATTTTTTACTGTTAGAGGGTAACACTGCACACATGGAATTTTTTTGTAGCTGGTACTTTGTTCTTATACAGACATGTTCTGGGCTATTACTAATAAGTTACATTCTTGATAACTCTCGTATTAACAATTATTGTTTATTACTAAGGAAATGCTTCTTGTATTTACTAAAATAAATTAAGAATATCAAAGGTGATTTAAAAACCACTTGACGTATTAAATTTTTCATAACTTCTGGGGAAAAAAACTTATTAAAAAAATTCTCTTCTAATATTATCTAAAATTTCTAGGATTATTGCGGCACACGAGGATTATCAAAAATGTAATTTTTGTAAAAAAAAAAAATAAAATTGCTTGGTCGTAAATATAATAATATCTTTCAAATGAGCTATTACATGACTTTACTTTCCATTAGAAAATTTAAAGATAGTAACGCCCTCTATTTTACGTCTCAAGTAAAGTGCATCTCATTATAACAAAAATATCATAATGTTTCTCTAATCGTTTTTGTTTTGTCTCTATCTTCTTGCATTTTGAAAACATACAACAAAATGCTTTCATTTGACATCGCAGGATTGCATTAGAAAAATTCTAACTTCCAATTTAACCTCTTCCCCCCCTCACCAACTAACTTACAAGACAAAGTATTTTCGAAAGAAACGAGACGAGACAAGACGAGAGAAAGGCTCTCTCAAGCGAGAGAAGCGCCTTCT